TTCTTCCTGAATGCATGATTGGCAGGTAAAAACCTTCGGTGTGAGTCAAACCAACAATTTTTACCACCATTCTGTAATGTAAAGGCTTTAGAATGCTCCATGCAATGCGGACATGCCAATTTACCTTGAGTTCCCCAACCAGACAACATGCCATATGCAGGGAAGTCATTAATAGTCCACATTAATGTTGCCTTCATCATAAAATTTTGCTTCTTTGAAATGTCATAGGTTTGGACACCAATCCACAACTTTTTAAGATCGTCAATCAATGGTTCTAGATACACATCAATAGCGGCCTTTGGATTCCGTGGACCAGGTATAAGACAAGTTAAAAACATAAATGGTTTTGTCATGCACATTTCAGGGGGAAGATTGTATGGGGTCACAATTACCGGCCAACAAGAATAAGGTGGAGTTGTTGATTGAATGTATGGATTAAACCCATCTGAGCATAAACCAAGTCGCACATTGCGAGGATCGGCTGCAAAATCTGGATGCACACGATCAAAGTGCTTCCAAGCTTCACCATCTGAGGGATGACGTAAAACACCAGAGGTACTTCTATTTTGATAATGCCAACACATATGCCCAGCTGTTTGCACTGATGCAAATAGTCGTTGTAACCTAGGAATTATTGGCAAATAAAACATCGTCTTCACTGGAACTAGTTTTTTTGTGCTTGATCCAGTGTTGCGATCATGATATCTTGGCATATGACAAAACTTGCACTGTAATAATGCACCATCATTTTTTCCATAATCATTGTCATAAAACAACATGCAACCTTGTACACAACAATCTATCCTTCTAGCACTCAGTCCCAATTTTGACACTAATCTTTTAGCGTCATAGTAATTTTTGGGCAAACATCTATTCACAGGAGTCACATCCAACAACATTTTTGTTATAAAATCGACGCATTCATCAGGAACATTCCAATTAGACTTGCATGCTAAAAGTCTTACACACATTGATAACTTAGACTCTGATGATCCCTCATACAATGGACAATTTGCCTCAGATAAAAGATTGTAAAATCTTTGTGCTTCTTCATTCGGAGGCTCTTCCACGTTACTATTTTCCAGTATGTCAAATGCCCCATGTTGCCTAAGAGCATCACACACCATATCATGCATTGAGTTAGAGGTTTCACATTCAGTCGCATTTATACCAATACTTGAAGCACCTATGAGATTGTTGTCAACATTCGCCATCTCTTCACCATGATCAGTCCAAATGTAGTAGTTCGACATGAACCCATACTTGAAAAGGTGAAGCCTCACAGTATGAACACCATCAATCTTTGTGGACTGACATTTAGCACATGGACATCTAAGTTTCCCTTCATTAACATAGCTTTGTTGTTGACAAGCTATTGTTATAAACTTTTCAACCCCGTGTACAAAAGATTCCTTTAAACCTCTTCTCCCCGTATACATTCTATCATACATCCATCGACGACTTGCTGGAATAGAATTCATGTTCTGTGTATTTATAACAAATATATTAGAACATGGAAAGACAAAGGTGTTGGAATGGAATTCATCTTCTGTATATTTATAACATTCAAATATATTGTCATATGCCCTTTGCATACTAGCGTTATATTCAAATCTGCTAGGGTAAACTGGTTTTTAACCAGTTTAAAGTCATTTAGAACCATGTGCCTATGCAAATGGCCAATGATAAGTGTCATTGCTACTAATTCATGAACCTGAAAATTGTTATTGCTCATTCGAATCAGGCTGTTCACAAGCTAGCTATATTATTGGTAGTAGTAGAATCTAAGAAGTACTTATTTATTAAGGAATTACTAGGATTGATTAAGGAATCTAAGTGTTATTAGGTTCTAAAGACAAAGACAATGTAACCAATTAAAATTTCTTTCATAAAAAACCCCAATTAATACACATATAGTGACAAAAAAAATCAATAAGTTAGTTTCATATAACCCTAATTACATACTCAAATAGGAATCAAATAGTTATTTATATTTAAATAAAACATAAAGCTAAAGAAATAACTTCAACAAATTAAGAAGCATAAGAATATATATTTTCACTGGAGTACCTAATAAGCACGCAACAAGCTAACTAGGTAGTAGGTAGGTACACAACAATATGACTGGGCAGTAGGTATGCACACAATCCCCAGCAAGCAACAACAACATAAATATACATGTGACAAAAACTAATCATAACAAAAAATTAAAACTAATTTTGCATGTGATTCGGAAGAAAAGAATTAAAACCACTATAACATATTTCAAATCATCATAAATATTATTATCAACTATAAAGAGAAAAAATATTTTGTATCTCTGTTTAATTACTCTTGTCAATAAATAATGTGCAATTATTATAAACTAAAAAACTTTTATAATATTTATTTAATTTTTTTATTTTTATTTGAAAAGTTAAAATTATCTTATAAGTATAAATTAATTTAAATATCATAATATTATTGGAAGAATGCATTATATATAGTGACTACTATTTTTCCATGTAAGGATGCAGCTCAACTACCTAATCTCCCAATCCCATCAAATACATAAAACTTTTAAATGTGCAAAAAAAATGCTAATTTACAAACCTTCCAAACTTCTTAGTTGTTACAGACTGACCTTCTAGTGTTCTGCAAAAATGAGACACAAGAAAAGCTCTAGTTAGAATCACTGACATGCTAAACTGAATATATTAAACACAAGAATTATAGAAAGAAAGAAAAAAGGAATAATCATGAGCTAAATTTCTCTCGGTCTTCTTTCTCTCTGAGTTCAGGTAGTTTCAACCTTAATTTTGACATTAAGGAAACTTGAAGGCCAATGCTTCTCAGTTTGATCCGCTAATTTCGTGCATTTATAGTTGTAATGAAATTCCTTTTTATCCAATAGAATAGGAAAAAGAATGGCCTAGTGGTTTAGGATAAAATCTACCGATAATGACAAAATTGGATGATGAAATATCTTATTTAAATTAATTTTATGTGTTTGTACTAGCAATTGTTTCTATTTATTTTTTATATGCGGATTTTCACCATCACATTACTTTTGAACTAGGGACCTTAGGACTCTAGTGGCTTTTGTCTTCATTAAGTTTTGCTGTGCAGGGAAAGGAATCTATTCTTTTGGGAAAATCCAGATTTTGAAAACCAAATTGGACCAATCAGCTAACGCATCACCCAATTCAATGCCCTGTTTGGTTTAGATCTTAAACCTGCTAAAGCAACCAACCAATCACAACCAGATTTAATGGATAGACCCATGCACATGTATTAAGCTTGAAGTATGGAAAACTGATAATTTTATAATATAGAATGTGAAAGAGGTTTTCATTAGAACAAGGGAAATAATGGAAGACTGCTCAAATCCTAGCCAGTAGCCACTAATGCAATCAAATAATTAGCAGATTTAACTAAAAAATGTGATTAAAATAACACTTATATTTATTTTTGAAGATGAGCAATTGTATAAGGATGCTCGTGAACTCTTTCACAGTTTCACTACGTGTTTATTTTTTATCATGACATCATGTGCCAACCAATCAGAATAACAAATAATATTTCATCTCTTTATGCCTTTTCCAAGTTTCAAAAATATTAAACTTAGAAAGACTCTAACCAAATGTTTTAACAAAGTACTAAAGGTACCTACTTTTCTCATTCAAGACTCAGGTTTGAATCGTTTCCAAAGCATATGGTAGGGACAAACCAAGGAACCGCATGTAAAATAGTGAAATTAACTGTTAATCTCTCTTGACCTCATAGCAAAGTAGTAGTCAATACTACACTAGTGACAATGTGGAACAGCCTTGGGCCACCAAACAATAACTACACTCCAATGAAACTAAACAATAACTACCACGTACACAGCTAGACTAAATGTAGTTCCTAAAATAAAATTCAACTTTATCACTCAGCATTTAAATATAATGATCAAAATGAATGATGATATAACAAATGAAAATGCATTGTTCCTATGATCAATTAGCTAATACTATTATGCTTTACTTTGGAGACTCAGAATGATAATGAAATATAGCAATCACAAATAAAACATCATCAACACATTACATCTAAAAGTAAAAATAAATAATAGGAACAGATGCATAATTTCCTGTTCATTTAATTTCTGTTTTAGTAGAGTTGGGGAAGGCAAAGATTTTACCTGTCATAGGTTGAAGAGCAGATGGCTCTCTCACCCAATGAGCTTCAGTAATGAGCTTCAGCAATGATAAGATAGCTCAATATTAAGAAAGGAATTATCTGCAAATGTCACCATACAAACTGCAGTGAGTAAAATAATACTGGACCAGAGATAGAAGAAAATGATAAAACAGAAATGATATGCTTATTTAATTATATAGGTGGCTGCATGTCAAGTTTTGATATAAAAAACCTACTTAGCATTCAAAGACGTGCAAATAAAAAAGAAAAAAGAAAATGACAATTAAATATATGTGAAATACAAAGGCCTTTCAATCTACAATCAGTCACCTGCTAGAAAATAGTGATTTCCCATTAAATTAACACAAAAACATTGCTCAACAGGGGAGAATAATAATCCCTAGCTAGCTTGATCACCTCCTTAATTCACTGACTCACTCTATAATCCTATTCTATGTAACCCTTCAAGTGAATAGAGAAACGACATTTTATGCCCATGTGCTTTTCTGCCACTGCAACCCAAAACTTCACTGATTACTCTCTGCTTATATCAGACCTACCCATCTCACAACTCCAAAAGAAGACAAAGCCCACCAACTGCCTTTAAGACCCTCACTCTTACACTCATATAGGACCTCGTTTACCTTACATATATTAATTATTCTCTTTCCTTCCCAATCACATGCAAAATTAGTTTCAGTTTCATATGTACGATTCACAATATTTTCAAATTAGAATCATAATTTTATCTCACTAATATATATATACTGAGATATGTAAATACATATTATTAAAACAAAACTTTAATTTTAATAAAAAAATAACATTAACCATATCTATAGAACTGTACTTAAGTTATTGAGAGAAAATTGAACACTTAAATCTATGATAGGAAATATCATACCCCCCTCCTTTCAAATCATTAAGGAGATCTCCATTCTTTAGCCTACGAGGGAATTGAAATGTTGGGTGTGGCCTATATTTCTGATCGTTGCCTTAAATGGTAATTTGATAGAAAACCCTTTTGACTTAAATGAGCATTTGTATCTAGCATGGTCATTCAGGGTTTAGGGTTTAGGGTTCAGGGTTCAGGGTTTAAAGTTCAGGGTTCAGGGTTCAGGGTTCAGGGTTCAGGGTTCAGGGTTTAAAGTTCAGGGTTCAGGGTTCAGGGTTCAGGGTTTTTTCAGGGTTCAGGGTTTTTTTAGGGTTCAGGGTTTTTTTAGGGTTCAGGGTTCAGGGTTCAGGGTTCAGGGTTCAGGACAGGGTTCAGGACAGGGTTCGGGGTTCGGGGTTCGG